GGGGGGGGGGGGACGGGACACTGCAGACTGGAGGGGCAGACATGGAAATGTACAGTTTCAGGAAAGCTCAAGAGAAGAGGGAGCTGATTGTGTGGGGATATCCTGGCTGGCAGAGGACTGCTTTGACATGCTAATGAGTACCTGGGTCTGGAGCATGGGGACCAGATGAAGGGTGGCGGAGGACCTCTGAGCAACTGGTAGGCGGGTGCTGGGCTGAGCATGGGCTCTGAGTGGGGGAAGGGCTCTGGGATTGAGAGGATCGCCTCAGGGATTTCACACACACACACACACACACACACACACTCCATATACCACCTATGAGTCAGGGTTCAGATGGAAACTTGGGACCCTTTTCTGAGAAACAAAAGTGGAGAATGGAGAATCCAAGATTTCTATAGCTTGCCAGGTGGGGCAGGAGCTAGCAGGTTGGGGTGCCACAGGCCTGTCTGGCAGGGGGAGAATGCAAAAGAAGAGGTCAGTCACTCTCAGTGACACACTCGACCCACATGCCTAAACACAGGTGATGACACACTCCCACCTGCACACATACACCCCTGCTGCCCCACATAACAGCAATGACATATGTGCCAGTCCACTGTGACACGCATCTGCACACTTATCTCCAATGGGGGTGCCATTTCATACTAATGGTAACATCCTGTATCACCTGTGTCATCTCTCGTTGTCAGCAACAGTTAGGCATATGTCATTACACAGAAAAGGTGACATGTCCCCAGAGCCTTTGCGTCTGGCACAGTCTATGCAAATGCCACCCTCTGTGGTTGTACACTGCACAACACACACACCATCTGTGGCACCCTTGCCTTACACCAAACCATCACATGATGCCATTGACACATTCCACTGTTACAACAACCCACTGAGCTGCATACTGCCCCACATAGATGATGAATTCACAGCAGAGCCACTTCCCATCAGGGGGGACATACCACCTCCACACACTGAGTCACATGGCAAAGACCCACACCTGCCCTGCTAGCACCTGTTGCCCTCCACATGGATGCTGCCCACTTCCTGCATGGTTCTGTCCTGGTGGGCACACACACATGCACCACTGCACACCAATGGGTTTGCCTCCACACTGTGTCATTCTATGTTGATGGAGAATGACTGGGACCCTAACTTCATACCCTGACAGTGATGGCACCCTGGCCATTATCAGTGACAAGAAGGGAGCCACTCATCAGATGAGCCAGGTGGCCTAGAGCCCTTCCCTGTGCACAGCCACCACAGCTCTGTTTCTGCCTGGGGCACATGGCTACCCCTTCAAACCAAGAGCAACTCTGTTCTTTCAGGCTCAAGCTAGAATAGCAGGGTCACAGCTCTGTTTCTGCCTGGGGCACATGGCTACCCCTTCAAACCAAGAGCAACTCTGCCCTTTCAGGCTCAAGCTAGAATAGCAGGGTGTGGAGCTGGCATCTGGAGCTTTCAGATGCCCCCCTGCATCCACCAGCTGAGGCTGGGCCCAGCCAGCAGGCTCCAGATCAGGGCTGGCAGCCAGTACTTCCTAGATGCCTCCTCACCTCCTGCGTGGCATCCAGAGTGCCCTTTGGACTGAGGTGATTGCAGGGAAATCGGCTGACCTTTGGGCGGGCACCATTCTCACTGATCACCACATTTATGGTCTGTGACAGTTGTTGTTCATCACACACTGTTCCTCAATCCCCACACAAAGTACTGACATTAGCTCTCTTGATTGGCTGCCTAGTGAACATTCAAAGCATGTACATATCATTTTAAAAATCTGTTCAAATCTGGCCCCCTGCCCCAGCCTAGAGAGCTCATAAATAAAAGTGGGAACTCAGCAGCAGCCAGGGTGAGCCACCTTAAGTAGAGCCATATCCATATTTTACCAGGTGACTCTTAGAAGTTGTCCAGGGAGTAGGCTCTGCAACAACCCGAAGCTGGGGTCGGGGAGGTGACTCGCAGCTGGCTGGATTAGAGATGCAGGAGACTGAAGGAAATGCTGACAATCCATGTGACATGAGGACCCCGATCTGGGTGTGAATTCTTTTTTTTTTTTTTTTTTTTTTTGTGAGAAACTGGAGATAGGACAGACTGTAAATGTCAGTGTAAAAAAATATCTGCAGAGCAAAAGTTACATTTCCATAGGCTGCAGGATGTGTCAGAAGAGAAGCACTCCCGTGTGGTGGAAGGACCTCAAGCTTGGTGTCAGGCAGGCCTGGGCTGGCATCCTGGCTCTGCCCAAGATTCCCTGTATGTCCCTGTGCCTTGTCTTGCTCATCTTGAAAAGAAGGGTTTGTGTGAACTAAAGGAGAGACATAATTTATGAAAGACACCAAAGTGAGCACCTGACACATACTGGAGGCTTGATGGTTGCTATGATTAGTAGTATTATAATCACTAGGACATGCTTATAATATTTAAAGACTTTTCTGCAGCGATAACAGAATTTGGGAACCATGTCCAACTGGTAACAATGAACCAGGAGCAAGTACTCATCTCCCTGCCATCTTTTCTTGACAGGAAGCACCAATAGCTAACATGTCATGATTTACTCCTAACCATTCATAGGGATGAAGCCACCAAAACTTGGCTGTGCCATCCTTTTATTCAGCAGTAAGATTTTCTGCAGCTAGACATGATTCATGTCAGCTCATGCAGTTTTAATAGACTCACAGAAGGTGGGTTCAAAGGGGGTTTGAGCTGTCACCTGTCACCCAACTGCCATCTTCCAGGGCCAGAGAACTCACCACCTCACATGAGACACTCCATACTGTGGCTGGGCAGCTTCAATCGGTAGAAGGTTCTTCCTCTTAGAGCTTCTGTCTGCTCCCGTTACCTTTCCCCCATTGCCCTAAATCTGTCCTCAGCACCAGTAAAAACAATATTACTCTTTCATTTCAATGGTCATTTATTCATCCAACAAGCATCCAACTATGCCAGGCACCAGGACAAGTGCTGGAATTACAAGCTGAGCAAGGCTTGCCAGCCCTTTGAGGGCTAATCCCCCTTCAGCATTCTCTCCTCCTGGTGAGACATCCTCAGATCTTTCAACCTTCCCTCATCTACCCTGTCCACAAAATTACCCCCTTCCCTTCTAAACATACTTGAGCTTATCAAATTCCATCTTAAATTGTGGTCCCCAGAACTGAGCTCTGTATTTTTCTGAAGGTTAAGCTGGGTTTTTAGTCCAGGTTGGTCGACACCCATGTCAAAGGCAACAGCCATGTGGAAAAACCCCGATTGTAACCACAGGCCACCAGCCAGGTCCCAGTCAGAAGAACAGAGAGAAAGGAGGCAGGAGGGAGGGGGACTGTGACTCCTGAAATGGCAGGATGTCGGATCTCCCTGCCTAGAACTCCCCTCAGGCATTCATGCCAAGTCCAAGTCATTCTAATCAAACAGCCTCCCCTCTGCACCCCTCCATTAGTGTCTGCCACAGGAAAGGGAAGGAAAATCAAGACTGAGCCTGCTGATGGCCCAATGTAGAGCTAAACAGGGAACTCGGACATAAAGGCAGGATGTCCCTAAACCAAGGCCCATGGCCTAGAGGGGAGAACAGAGATCAGCTTCGGAAAGTGACCCTCCAGGTGAGGAAAGGTGTCCACCAATGGCCTCTGACTTGTGGGGAGGGGATTCCCCACTTTGAGGCCTCTGCTGTGAACATATGCAAAGGAACAGTGTCCCCCTTGTCGCAACAGCATCCTGCCTCCTTCCTCTCCCAGATCCAGTCCTCTGCAGCTCTTGCTGCTCCTTTCTTGGAAGGAAGCCACCCCCTTATGGAAGCAGAAGAAATCTCCACTCCGACATAACCCTGAATGACGTTTAAACTCCTGCAAATTTTTCAAAGTCCTGGTGCAAGGCCCCTCCTCTCTGAAGCCACTTACCTACACATAGGGCTGGATTAAAGGAAGCATTTTAGAGCCAAAAAATGGCAGGCGGAAAGGACAGGCTCATGACAAGACAGTAATAAAACAAAAGAGTGTGAGAGGAGGAGGAAAGGCCAGGGTTGGGGCAGGTGTTGACACCTGGAGTTCCTTTTCTTCCCTGGGCACAGGAGAGAAAGAAGTGGCCTTCTAGAACCAAAGGATTCCTTAGTCTTCATGGGGTAGCAGATCTAGAAGGAGCTGGACCCCCCCAAGGCCCACTGCATTGCTGCAGCAGTCTCCCACTTCGGGGTCCATGCGGAGGGCTCCTCAACCCCTAGGGGGGCCTTACCCACAGCATTCATCAATATTTATAGAGTGGGATTCATGTAGTGGGATACTGTGCTGAGAGTCCACAAAGATGACCTGGTGGCAGTCTCATCCTGTAGGAGCTCCCAGGCAAGAGGCATGCAAACAGAGGAACAGGGGCCCCTGAATCAGGGTGTGTCTCAGGGTGGTGGGAACCCTGAGGAAATTGTGCCCAATTCCACCTGGAGGAATCAAGGAGGGCTTTCCTGTGCAGGTAGCCTTGGAGTTCTGCTTTGAAGAATCCTTCCTCCACCCTCTCACCCCCACTGCCCCTCAGTGCACTGAAGCAGCAAGTTTGTGGTCCTAAGAGATGTGGCCCAGACCGGTGGCAGCAGGGGGGATTGACAGGGAGAGGACAACGGGCAGCCTGGAGATTAAAGGGGAATGGAAGGAGAAGAGAGGGGGCAAGCAGGGAGAGTGCAAAAGGGAGAGGGAGGAGGAAGAGGGGGGAGAGGAAAGAGAGGGAGAGATTTGAATTTCCCATCTGGAAGGGGAGCGGTAGCACGTCAGGGCTGGGCTGAGGGGCGTGATTGGAGGGCGCCTCTGGCAGCAGCGGCGCCCCAGCTCGCCTGGCGGAGTTGCACGAGGCGGCGAGGCGGCGGGAGCTGGAATAGCAGAAGGAACCGCCTCGCTGAGTCCGGCCGGAGCCCTGCAGTGGCTCAGACAGTAGCAGGGACCGCCAGGTCGGTGCTGGCCGTGGGCCGGGAGGGCGGAGCCGGGCTGTGGGCAACAGGGTCCCGGCTCCCTGTCTCGAGGCCGCAGGGCAGCCCGGGAGGCTGGGGAGTCCTGTTTTCTGGGGAGACAGCTCCCCAAGACTGCCCGGGCGCAGGAATGGGGGAGGCTGCGTGGCGGCAGCCGGCTCCCTCCCGCTTCGGGCCGTGGTGCTGAAAGGACAGCTCCCTGCGAGGGGTGCGAGCGGGCGGAGAGCGAGTGAAGCGGCGGTAACTGGGAAGAGGTATGAGCCCCGGAGCCCGGGCAGAAGCTCGGAACAGCCCAGCTCCTGGGGAGCAGGTCCGCCCCAGGGCAATGGGAGACTCAAGTCTGAACCCAGAGAACAACTTCCAGCTGGGGTGGGGGTGGGGATGGGGATCTCGATCTCAGCTACTTAACCAGGAGCCCGCCTGGGCCCTCTTCTCCCCGGAGGAGGAAGCCGCCCCCGTGGGGTACAGTTTGGGTTGAGGGAGTGAGTCAGAGGGCAACGGGAGGGGAGCAGACAGACCGAAGGTGGAGGGGAGGAGAACCTAAACATCTTTTGGGGGTGGGGGACCAAGGGACTATTTGTTCTCAGAGGAGGAGCCACGGTTTAGGCAGCACAGCAAGCTGCCTGGGGTCATTAGGAAGAATCTCTTCTATGCCCTCACGGCCCCCCTTCTGCCCCCTCCCCTGGCAAAGTTTGAGACCGGGATGGGTCATGAGGTTGGAGCTATGTGTTGGGGGAGGGGCATGCTCAGTGGCCTACTGAGAGCTAGGCAGAGGTGCTGGCAATGCTGGTCTGCATGGGGAGCCGAGAGAGGGGCTCCAGGATTCCTGCTCCCTCTTCTGGGGGGTGGGGGGACACAAAGCCCCGCCACTCCTGCTCCTCTGCAGGAGCAGGCTCCCTGCCCCCTTTCATTCTCCACTGCCCCTTCCCTCCCCCAGTGCTTCTTCCTTCCAGGGGGTGGGGTGGGGTGGGGTGGAGATAGACAACCCTTGTTAGCCGAGGGTGGCAAAAAAGCAAATGAGTGTTGCATTGAGTTGTAGTGAATATAGCCCGGACTTGAGCCATTTTTAAAAAAGAAAAAGAAAGAAAAAAAGAAACAGAAAAGCAAGCACAAACACTGCAGGTGCAGGAGTCTGCCTGTCAGGTGGCAGGGGCCCGGTTCCAAAAGGGGCCTGGGGCTCAGAGGGCAGAGCCTGAGGAGGTGCCTCAGCTGCCTTCAGGCTGGGGCGGTTTAGGATGGGCTGGGATGGCTGGGAGGGAGTCAGGGAGAAGCTGAAGATGCAGCCTGGGTCCCAGGCATGCTGAAGGCAAGGAAACCTGGTGCTGCAGCTGCCCTTCCCCCCACACACTCTGCCCCCCCCCGCCCAGCATCCTTACCACCACTGCCACTACCACCACCACCACCACCCCCCTTCCAGCTCCTGGGTAAACCAAAGCTCACCACAGAACGGCTGAGGAGCGCCTCCTGGCGGTCTAGATAAAATCCTCAACTGCACGCAACCTGCTGGACCTTAGCACTCCTACAGGCATATGGCAAAATCTCTATACACACGCCTGCACACACGCCCACGCACATGATGCGTAAGTTCAGAGTCAGAACACAGATCGTACCTCGAACGCATACATTCTCACAAACTCACTGACACAGAACATTAAATTCAATCCAGCAAATAGATCCTGCGGCTGGCAGGAGATGCTGTGGACTCTGGGATAGGAAAAATGCACAAGATACAGGGAGGAGCACAGAAGAACTGGGAAGAGAAAGACACATAACTGGGCAGAGAGCTTGAGCTGGAGGTAGTCAAGACTGCCCTAAAAAGTGCCAGGGTTCTCAGGAAAGGAAGACACCATCACATCTCTTTGAGGAAACTGAGGAAATTTCATGGAAGGACTGACCTTTGAGAGGGATTTTTGAAAATTAATACTGCTGCTGATGTTGACAATGCTGACAACGATGATGATGGTGATGACAGCCAATATGTACTGAGCACCTACTATGTGTTAAACACTGGGCTGAGCATTTTACCTGCATCACCTCCTTTAATGTTCACAAAGTACCTTGGGCATAGGTGTTATTGTCTCCATTTTACAGATGAGAAAAGATTAAGTCACTTGTTCAAGTTCGCTTATAAGTAATGGAGCCAGAATTTGAACTAGCAGAGGTGAGGTTAAGAGGTTTCAAGGCTGTGGAAATAGCATGAACAAATGTCCCGGGGGGTTAGAAAGAATACTATGTGTTGGGGTACAGCTGAGGCAGAGAGCCACATGCAAGAGGTGGGAAATGAATGGCAAGGCAGGCAGGTGCTGGGCTGTGCAGTACTTGAAGGTCAGCACCAGGACTCTGGTCAGTTTAACAAGGTCATGTGGAGTCATGGCAGGGTGTGTTTGCACGAGCAGATATGCCCTTTAGGGAGATTAACTGGACAGCCATGTGAAGGAGGGATGAGAGCAGGGGGAGAGACAGAGTTTAAGTTTATGCACAAATCCAGAGCCTTGAGGCTCTAGCCAAGGCATTAGCAGCCACAGGAGAGAAAAGGGTGTGAACACAGATTGGGAAGCCACAGTCTCTGGACTCCTCCCTCAGCACCCCACCCCAACTGTAACGCACCAATTCCTTGCATGGTCTTTGTCCAATGTCTGCCTCCCAGCCAACTGAATGCTGTGACAGCAAAGGCTAGGACTCACTTGGGCCCTGCCACAGCCTCAGCACCCAGAACAATGCCCGGCAAAGAGCAGGTGATCAAAGAATATTTGTAGTGTGTGTGAATGAAGAAATGAAGAATTTGCTGAGTCTGGGGGTTTTAGTAGAGGCAAGGGGAACTAGGCGTGCTGGAGGAAAAGACAGTTGGATGGAGGAGAAAAGGATGAGACTGCTCCTTGAACGGGATGAACTGAGATTATTCATGTGACAATATCCAGCAGAGAGTTAAATGTGCAGGTTTTGGGAGAGAATAGGTGAAGGGAGGAGGGTGAGACAGAGGGGGAGGGGGAGAGAGATCAATCTGTGGCTATAAAAGGGCATAAACCAGTAAGAGTAGGTGAGATTCCTAACGGAAATAGTGGGAGAGGGAGGGGCAGTAAGAGGGAAAAGGGGAAGAGAAATCCTAATGAATAGCTACATTTTAAAGCAGCCATTTCCAACCAGCGTGCCACGGGACACTGGTGTGCTGCAGGAATTTTTAAAACATGCCATACCTGACTATTTAGTCAGGGGCACTGACCTCTTTTCCCTGAGACTGTGAAACAAAAACAAAAAAAATGACAACAGCCAACACAACAATAGCCATCTGGTGTGAATGAATCGAAATTATACCTAATTTTTTTGTCAGATTGGCAAAAAAATTTATTTTTTGGAGTGCTGCAGAGTTTTAGTCATTAGTGTGTGTGTCCCAGGAGAGGAGAAAGGTTGAACATTGCTGTGTTAAAGGAAAGGAGCCAGCAACGGAGAGAGAGAGGGTTTGTCTGATAAGAAGACCACAGAGTGCTGTGTCATGGAATTCAGGAGGTTCAAGAAGGCAGAAAAAACCCGGGAGGCGGGAGTGGGGTAGGTAGGGGCCATCTCCCGCATCTGATGCTCCAGAGGGGTGGAGGAAGTGGAGGAGGGCCGTGAAAACACTCCCCGTCTGACAGTTAGGCAGCCTCTGGCAAGTCTGACGAGGGCATTTCTGGTGGCACTGCAGAGGCAGCAAATCCCTGATCTCACAGAGCTGTAGGGCTTGACAGGGAGGTGGAGAAGTGGAAACACCTAGTAAGGACTCTTTCACCATGAAGTTAGAGGGCAGAAATTAAGGGAGAGGTGGGGTCAGGGCAAGAGTTGGAAGAGGAGGGGATAAAAGAGACCTGTGGAGAAGAGGTAAAGATGTGAGGGAGAGGGAGTGATGAATGGAACAAGGAGGAGGTGTGAAGAGAGCGACCGGGGAGTGAAGGCAGCTGGGTTGGCTTCGAGGGAAGGAGGGTCCTCTGCCTCAGGCGCTAGGAGGAGGGGAGGTCACAGGGGCTCACAGGAGCTGGTGTTAACCATTTTGATAATGACAATAGCCACCCTCTACAGAGCCCCCCATTATGTGCCAAACACATTCCTTAGGTTTTTTCCTAACCTTTCAAACTGGTACTCTAATTCTCACTTTATAAAGAAGACTGAGACTCAGAGAATCTACATCAATTACTCATTATCACACGACTGAAAAGGAGCAGACTGAGGCTCCAAGCCGGGTATGCCGGCCCCCCGAGGTCACGGAGCCTTCCCCTGCACCACGTGAAGTGGGAGGCGTCTCCTGCTGAGCAGGGTGGTGTAAGAGTACATTGGGCCTTGAGATGTGGGTTAAGAAAGTCTTGAAAGATTGAACAGGACATTGCTTAAGAGCTGAGAGGACCATGCTGGGAGTGGGCAACCGAACTTTGTGGAGGACCCAAGAAGCTTGGCCAGGTAATCCCAGCAGGCCTGGATAGGAAGCACCTAGAGCAATATGGACATAAGCATGGAGAAGACTCAGCCCTTGAGTGGATATACTGCATACTGAGGGCGAGGGTGGTAATCAATGTTTGCCGAATGGACTGGAAGCAGAGGGAGACAGTTTGGTGATAGAGAGATGGCATGAGCCTGAGCAGTGCCATGGTGGAGGAGTGCAAAAGAAAGGCAAGCATATTTCTTGACTTACTGTCTATTTCCCTACAGACACAAACACGCTCACACACACTCCAAGGCTGCAATCCGCATGAGGACAGAACTGTGTCTTGCTCCCTGTTATGTCCCCAATGCCTTACCTGCTGCCTGGCACAGAGCAGGTGCTTAATTAATACTTGTTGGTGAATGAATACAGGAGTCTGGAGCCCACATAAAATGTCTAGGTGTCACTAGTATCAGAGGTCACTAGAGCCCCTGGAAAGGATGGCCTTTCCTTAGGAAATGGTTAGAGAGGAAAGAGGGGCTGAAGTCAGGGTCCTGAGAACATCTTCACTGAAGACACAAGAGGAAGCAGAGGACTCAGCAAAGGGGAGGCACAGAGAGGAGAGGACAGAGATGGGGGAGGGAGAAGCAGAGAAGGGAGAAGAGAACAGAGCCACAGGACCGAGAGAGGAGACGGGTTTAAGGATACTGCGGGCTGTCCCATCCATGCCCGAAAGGGGATTTATGGTGGCTTTGCCTATGAAAGAAGCCGTGAAACCGGATGGTTCAAATAAAAAGGAAATCTCTAGGAGTCAGAGCACTGGGGTTCATATTCTTAGGGATGTGGGGAAAACAGGGTACACAGGAGGCCAAGGGTGGAGGGAGCCTCCAGGCTCTCTACCCCTCCCCTTCACCACTGGAATAGTTCCACTTTTACATATTTTGTATACTGAGATTCCCATTAAGCTTTCATTTGAAGAAAATCTTCAGAACTGTTCCAACAGAAGCTCCAGGGAAAGGGCTCAAAGGATCATCTGGTCCCAGAGAGACTTGCCAGAGCAACAATTTAGGGATGAGGCTGGAACTAAAGCCCAGGTGCCCTGTCAACCAATTTGAAACATCTCAAATTAGAGTCCTGCATCTTCCACCACCACCTGGCAATTCCTTGAGCGGCATGTAAACACAGGAGGAGGAACCCAATAGTTCCTGAAATCATTCAGTGTTTAAGTTGTGTGTGTTTTTTCCCTGTTCTTAGAAATGCAGGCTCTTTACAATGTTTTGAATCAAATGAAAACACCTTGACTGACTGAGCTGAGCAGTCCTCCAACTCAGAATTCTGGGTCAGGGTGGGTTTGCTTGCATTTGCCAGAAGTGCGGGCCCGATTTGGCGCATCCCTGTCGATATGCAGTCAGCAATGGCTAATGGTGATGAGCTCCTGCTACACACCAGGCACTTGACCAGTTTCCTGTCTTCTCCTTCAAACACCCGTGGAAGGGTAGCCTTTTATATGGCCCCGTTTTGTAGGGAACAAAGTGAAGCTTTCCCAGGGACCCAGAGAATACTGGAGCCAGGATTTCAAACCCGGAGTGTCTGATTCCAAAGCTCCGTGGGGACTTTTTTCTACTCCATCATGACTTTCTCTTCTCAAAACAAGCAACCTACCAGGTGGTCTGATTATGGAGACATCTCAAATAGACTCTCAGGCCCCATTTTATGGAAAGATCTGTCTGACAATATGTTTCCTCATTTTGAAAGAAATGAGGAAAATCCATCACCAAGTGACAGCCAAATGACCTTGAACTCAACCTGGTTGCAATATCTGGTCTGACTTCTCTGCCACCATTGCACAGAACCCCTTTTTCCTTCTAGCAAACCAGAAACACCCCAAGGCTGTGTGGGACGAAAGGCCTTGGGGAGTCACTCTGGCTTCAGTGACCACCGGGCCACATCACACTTTGGACAGCTCATGGATGTCCCATCCATACCCAAAAGGGGATTTGGTGGCTTTGCCTATGAAAGAACCCATGAAACTGAATGTTTAAAATAAAAAGGAAACCTCTAGAAGTTAGAGCACTGGAGTTCGAATTCTTAGGGATGTGGGGGAAACAGGGAATGAAGGAGGCCAAGCGTGGGGAGGGGCTCCAGGCTCTCTACCCCTCCCCCTCACCATTGGAATAGTTCCACTTTTACATATTTTGCATACTGAGATTCCCATTAAGCTTTTATTTGAAGAAAATCTTTTGAGGCAAAATAATAACAATTTTTAAAAACCCTGAAAGTCAGTGATTTAAGGAGAGGGGAAGGACTAACATAAACTGAGTGCTTACAGGGTCCCATGGTTGGTACTTTAAAGGCTCTAAGCCCCAAGAAGATTATCGCGTCTCTAAACCCCTATGTGTAATTCAAAATAAAAATCAATATTAAGCTATAAAACACAAAACTTACATGTATGCTACAATAAAAATAACTTCTTTCTCCATCTCTCTAACTTCAGGGGTCTGGATGTGTTCCAGCTAGCTGTTTTCATTTCCTCACTAGCCCTGATTTATGGGGCCCTAAGCACACGCTCATCCCATCTGGCCCAGGCTGGACTTCTCCAGTCTCCACAGTAGCTCTGGGAAGGAGGTGCTGCTACTCATACCTCACAGAGGATGAAGCTGGGGCTCAGGGAGGCTCTGTAACTTGCCCGAAGGATACATGGAAGATAAGGAATGAGGGTGGCATTAGAACTCTGCTCTGCCTGCATCCAAATGAAAGGCTCTTTCTAAGACTCCTGACTACAATCAAATTCAAGCAATATGCTCAAGATGGTTTTAAAATAGGGATCTGAGCCATTTGGCAGCATATCTCTGCTTGGTCCATAGCAAGTGCTCAAGAAATAGCTCCTTTCGCTGCGGTACCAGGGCACTGCGCCTTGGCCTCAGACTGATGGTGTCCCAGACCTGAACCAGATGAGGCCACTATCTGCCTAACTTCAGCCCCCTGCCTGTGTAGAGATCTCTCCCATCTAACCCAAGCTCCTCTTTTGCAGGTTGGCACATCTCCCCAGCCAGGCTGCCAGGAGCTCTGCATGCAAATTCAGCTGCGGGCTAGAGCACGCCAACTAGAGTCGTAGGCATGGACTTCGTCATGAAGCAGGCCCTTGGAGGTGAGGCCCAAGCCCTGCACCCTCACCCTCAACCAGGGTCTGAACCCAGGTGGGAGAGGGTCTCAGCACACCAAGCACCACTATCTCAACTCTGGGCACCCCTAACCCCATCCTCTCCCTTCCCAACCCGTCCCCTGCAGGGGCCACCAAGGACATGGGGAAGATGCTGGGGGGAGAGGAGGAGAAGGACCCTGACGCACAGAAGAAGGAAGAGGAGCGGCAGGAGGCACTGCGGCAGCAGGAGGAGGAGCGCAAGGCCAAGCACGCACGCATGGAGGCCGAGCGCGAGAAGGTCCGGCAGCAGATCCGAGACAAGGTCAGCACCACCCGCCTGCCCGCCCTGGGGTGCGGGGGGCAGAGAGGTAAAGTGAGTCCCCAAACCCTGGCCTCAAGCCCCCTGAATCCCAGCTCTGACCTCAGACATAGCTCTCTCTGAGCTTCAATCTTCTCATCAGAAAAATGGTGTCCCAGGCACACCTCCCTCGAGGATCTGGGGGACTGCATTCAGTAACGGGCCTAGTAAGTGCTCCCTAACGTTCACTGCTGCGGGTCTGCAATCTCTACCCAAAACCTGGAGACCAAATATGTTTAGAGTCCAGAATTTGGGGATTTCTGAAAAGTACCATAGTGCCCTGAGCACCTGTTACTGTTGGATGTCACTCCCAGTGGGTCTGTGGCTGCCACCTTATGTCAAACAGATAGATACATGTCTGGTCACATCACCACAACAGATCAAGGTTACAAGCAGTCTTCCAGTTGAAGTCAAATTTTGTCACCGAAATTCAGGTCCAAACATATGGAAGAACTTTAAAGTCAACCTGCTTGTAACCGCTTCTCTGCTCTTTTGAAAGAGCACAGGCTCTCCATTACTGGGGACACACAATTGTGCAAGAAGGTCCCTTGTCCCGGTTTCATAGATGAGGGGACTGAGGGGGGGATCTCATGAGCTGCCCGCCGGGTCTGCATGGCCGTGAGACTGGCTGCCCCCCCCCTCACGCTCCTGTCTCCCTGCCCTGCCCCCAGTATGGGCTGAAGAAGAAAGAAGAGAAGGAAGCCGAGGAGAAGGCGGCCCTGGAGCAGCCCTGCGAGGGGAGCCTGACGCGGCCCAAGAAAGCCATCCCTGCGGGCTGCGGGGATGACGAGGAGGAGGAGGAGGAGAGCATCCTGGACACGGTGCTCAAGTACCTGCCCGGGCCGCTGCAGGACATGTTCAAGAAGTAACCGGCCCTCCCGCCCGTCCCCACTCCACTTGTTACTTTTTTTTTTCCCGGTTCTTTCTTTTCCTTTGATTCAGTTAAGTCTCACTTCTGATGGGGAAAACCGCAGTTGGCCTCTGTCCCCTGTCCCTGGCCAGGGGCTCGTCCCCTCAGCACTCCACCACACCCCCTTCACCCAGGGTATCCACCCCCACCTCACACCCAAATTGCTTGAAAAGGGAAGACAGCTTTTCCCCAGCAGGGGGCATGGTAGCCAGTACAGGAGGCCCTGGGGGCCCCTTCCTGAAGCCTAAGGTCTGTGCTAGTGTGGCAACCCCCATACATTCCTTCATGCGCCCCACTGCCAGGAGGACCACTGTCCCCAGCCAGCCAAAGTAATGTCACATTCCAGCCCTGCCCAGCATGAGGACCTTTGGTCTCTGACCCCCAGTGGGCCTCCAGGGCAGGGCAGGGGTGCTGGGTGGCCTCCCTCTGAGGAAGGGAATCAGGGTAAGCCTGCTCTGTGAGGGCCAGGCTGAGAGGCCCCCTGTACCCTGGGCAGGAGACTGAGGCTCTCCTTTTTCCCTCCCCCTGGTGACACCCAGCCCAGGAGCATCCTTCCCCCAACCCCCACGGGAAAAGGTGTAGCCCCTGCCAAGCCAGTCCCTCCAAATGGATCCTCTTTGGACTTTAACTCATCTGTGGAGGGGCTCAGGGTAGGGCAGCTCCTTGTTCCCCCCACCCTCCACTTAAGTCCGGGGGGCCCACTGCCAGTCTGGGCCCAGCTTGCCCAGCCAAGGGGCTGCCCAAGCCCCCCCACCAGAAAACACTTGGAGCCATTGGGCAGCAATGGCCCATGCCATGGGACACCCCATTGGTGCAGCCAAACTGCCCCCATGCCTATCTACCCCTCTTCTCCATAACCCTGTCCTGTCCATGTGCTTCCAGGACCCCATGGTCCCCTGGAGGATCTTTCCTGGCTAAAGCCCCAAGCCTTTGGGGAGAAGCCAGTCCCCACTTGACAGAAGGCATCTGTCCATTCATCTCATCGGCCAAGAACAAACTCTCCTCTGGGGTGTGAGACCGGTATTTCTGCCTCCCACCACAAATTGTCAAGGCCTCTTGTGCAGTCAGTTGTGTGAGAACTGAGGGGCCATGGAGCAATGAGAGAGGAAGGTGTGTGTCCATGCATGCATGGGTATGCATGGCAGAAACTTCATCGGCAATGATGTGTCCAGAGATCGTACATATAGGTATAAGGTTAGAGTATGTGTGTATCTTGAGATTGTGTGTGTGTCAGTCATCATGTCCCTGTGTTAGAGACTGTGTATGTTAGACAGCCTATGTATGTGTGTGTGTTTGAGGTGGTATGTATGAGTCGAGATTGTGCCATATGTGTGTGCTAGCCATGTCATATGTGTAGGAGAGCTTGCATGTGTTAGCTTGTATTCGCATGTGTTTTCAAAACAGCATGTGTGTCAGGAGTGATGGTTATGTGTTAGATGCTGTAGAAATGCGTGTTTGAGAGTTGTTAGATGTGCTGACTGTTGTGTGCATGCATGTGGCTCTAAAAAGGCAGTTGCATGCAGAACATGCTCTTGGGGAGAAAGAATATGGGTAAAATACCCCCACTTGCCCCCAAAACCATTGGTCACAAATAGCCACATCCAACAGGAGACCTTGTCCTTGGCCTAGAGTCCTCCCGCCCTTGGGGGGTTCCTGCCTGAAGTCTTCACAAGTCCACTGGGACAAACCCAGGCAGTGCCCCAAGAAGCCATGCTGGGTCCCAGCCAGGGCCTACCCCCAAAGCAGGGGCCAAGGAGGGGGCGACTTGCCTACCCCTGATGCCCCTGCCCCATTGGCCCCAGTTTGCATTCTGCAGGTTTTCCATTTTAGTGGATTTATGCTTTTATTTCAGAGAGAGACATGTGTCTTCTCTGTCCTTTTCCAATAGTTAAAGCCATATCAGTTAGACTGCAATACTTTAAAGATGAGACAAAACAATCCATATGTTTAGGGAACAAAAAAAAGTACCCTGGTCTGTCCCTTCTTTGGGGAGCAGGGCCTCAGCAGCTCCAGCTCCCTGGACTTGCCCTTTTCCCCCACCCCCCGCCCCTTCCCTATGCCCCTGTGTCCTGCCCCCCATGGGGCCTGTCTCTGTGTCTGTGCCTGTGTCTGTGATGGGGAGCCACCTTGCACCCCTACTGTCTGCTTGTCTGTGTCTTATCCTGGGCAGGATGGTCATTCTCTGGAGCCCTGGGGTCCTGGAGCAGAGATAGGCAGGGCCCAGTCCAGGAGCCCCAGGCCTCCCCAGACCCTGTGTGTGAGCCCCACTGGACACGGGAGTGGATCACAAGTGTTCAGAAACATCTCCCCCTTGACAGGGGCCACAGACCTTCAAGGTGGGGCCAGGGCACAGAGCGTGCTAAATGGACAGCAGAGACTGAGGCCTGGGAGCTTCAGATGAGCAGGGGAATCCAGCCATACAAGATATCCCAGGTGAGCTTGAGGGACCCCAGACCCTCAGAGGGTGTCCCTGGTGGTCTCTGAAGCCCCTCTGTACCCCCAGAGTGGGCTCAGGGCTTTTCCCATGTGAGAGTGACCTCAAGGCTGGCCAGCTGGCTTAGTCTGGTGCACTTCTCAGACTCTCCAGACCTCTACAGCCTGTTCCCAGCAACAGGACTGGAGGTCTTCTGGGAGTGGGATCAAGGAGAGAATTTCAGCCTGGGGCACACCTGGCTCTAACCACTGCCAGGTGATCCCTTTCAGGTCCAGGGGAACATGATGACTGTCATTCCTGACACTGACTTGACTCTTGAGAGCAGCCAATGTGCAGCACACTTGTAGGGGAGACAAAATATGTGTGTGTGGGGTTTCTAGCAGGGCAGGGATAATCACGTGATGTGCCTGGGACAGGAGGTGTGTGTGGCCTGCTGGATGGGAGGGGGATGAGTGTGTCACACACAAATGGGGGAGTGGGCATGCAACACACTTGGAGGCAAGAGCAGGGAGGGAGAGGCCCCAGAATTCAGCACACAGACACACAATATACATGGCTGGCATCCCCCAGTTAGGGAAACAGGAAGAGCAATCACTGTAAATGGTAAGAACATAACAAGATGCAAGGGAGCCCTCACCGCCCAAGGTGTGCTTGCCAGGGAGGGCCGCTGCCATGCTGTGTGCCTGGGAGGCCACCAGAGAGAAGGGGCAGGGCCTCTCCGGATCTGCCATGCTGGGCACTGGAGACAGGCAAGGATGTGGGCATCCTCCACTCCAGGTCCAGAAGCTCCTGGAGGGTGCCCTTACCACCAAAGCCATGTAGGGTCTCCTCAAACACAAGCAGGAAGTCAAGAGACCCTCCCAGGTGTGTGTGTGTGTAGACAGACAGAGATAGATGATAGATAGATATAGATAGATAGATAGATAGATAGATAGATAGATAGATAGATAGATAGATAGATAGATAGATGATAGATAGACAGATAGACAGATAGATAGATAGGGAGAGAGAAGGGGGAAGAAAGGGCAAGAAAGACACAGAACAGAAGTATATCAGCCCAGGGCCCCCGCATGTGGGCAAAGGTGCCACCCAAAGGCTGGTGGTTGGCGTGCAGTGAGCATACCCCCAGCCCCAGGAGCCCCAGCACCCAGCTGGCAGGGTTGCTGACCCCCACCACCCAATTGCTCCATCCTTCACAAGGGGGCTGGGGTCCGATTGGCTCAGAGGAGGGGACATCTCCCAGGCCTGAGGATGTACCTCCCACCACGTGTCCCCTGCTCCTTTCTCCACTCTTCTTCATGGGGGAGAGATGGTAGGTGCTCGTGCTGGCCCTGGGGTGAAGGTGGGGTCCTAGTGACACCCAGGTGAGGACGACCATCCTGCTCACGCGGGGGTATCCTTTTTCCACATCTGTGCTGTGTCCTTGTTGCTCTGCTTCCTTTAAATGTGTCAGTGCCTGGGGGAGGGGAGGAGCACCCCTCATGCCCCCCTGAACCTGACCAAAAGCCATGGCTGTTGCTCCCCCTTTGTATGACGCAGACGCCAACATGTACCAACCTAACCATGACAGCAAAGAAAGACCTTGTACAGCAGCTCTTGGTCTGTCTGTCCTCTTCTGTTCGTCAGCAGCACAAAGGCCACATGGGGCGCCGGCCGGCATAAGGGGGGCTGACCCACAGAGCTCAAGAGGCTGCAGAAAACCATCAGTTTTACCCTCACTTCTGGCAGAGACACTGTGGAGATGACCCCAGAAATCAGCCAAGACCATAGTCAGGGCTGGTCCCAGAGATTCAGAGCCATTCACCTCCTGCCCTTCAAAGCCACTGTACAGTCTCAGGAGCTTGTGGTCCAGCCTGGTCACAATACCCCACACACCATCTCTGGCCACCCCGAGCTCCTCGGGTGTGACATCCAGGGCAGTTACATGGATAGACAAGTTAGATGGATGGGCAAGGTCATCCCACCAACACAGATGGAGTTCCTATTTTGCCAGCAGCAGGAGGATGGGGACACAGAAAGGATGCCATTCACCATTGCTCCTGGACATGAGACACTTCCCAGGCCTTGTTGAGGAATCAGGACCAGACCAGAACCCCCCTCCGCCCTTACTGCCCTCCACCATCACCCTGCCTTACACAGCCCTCATCTCTCTGCCTGGCTGGGCACCTCCCATTCCCCACACACTAGTCTCCCAGCCACTGCCTCTTCCCTCCAACTCATCCTATCCCCACCACCCACCCCACCCAGAAAACTCACCAAAAACAACACAAACTTAACCACATCACTCCCCTGCCTAACACCCATCATGGCCTATGGGATAATATCAAGACTGTCAAAATGGCCCCATGTGCTATGACCCCAACCTGCTAGGTCAGACCCACACCCAACTCTGAGCTCCAAGCATCCCTACGCATACCATGCTGTTCCCCTCTGCCTGGAATGAGGGATACCCTTCCCCTCCCTGGTACACTCCCAAGACCCAGCTCAGACATCACCTCTTGGGTGAGGCCCACCCTGACACAGCCCCACCGGTTGCCCACAGCTGAGTCTGC